AATCTCGTCCGGTGGTTCTCCTTGTGGTCCAGGTTCCTTGGCGATCGGTGTCCGTACTCCGGAACGGCTGCCCTCCATCCCGAATGTCGCCAAAGCCTGTGAGATGTACTTTGTGAGTTCGAGTGCGATTGAGTCATTGTTCGCGGCGACGTTGAGCCCCAAAAACTGCGTCATGGTCTTGCTGACCGTCAAGGTAAAGTTCTGCTTCAAGTGTTGAATCACAGCTTCAATGCCTTCTGCGTCATGAGACTGGATGAGGATGTCGTCAACGTAGGTGAGTAGCCACACCGTGTCCTTTCCGTCTCTTTTCCAGATAAACAGAGATGGGTCTGACTCGGATTGCACCATGTCCAGCTCCAACAAGACACCCCGTAAGTGCTGATGCCACAAACGTGGTGCTTGTTTCAGTCCATACACACTTCTTTTGAGTTTCCAGACTTTGTCTCCGTCCCGCCTTGGTTCTGGTGGTCTCACATATATGTCCCGGTCGATTGGGGCGTACAGGAATGCGTTGGAGATGTCCAGTTGCACCACCTTCCGCTTTGTAGTAGATGCACCAGCAACGAACATGCGAGAGGTAGGTCCTTGGCTGACCGGTGCATTCGTCCCATTGTATGTTCCCCATGTCTGGCCGCATCCCTTGACCACCCAGCGCGCTTTGAACCGGTTTGGCTGTCCGTGCTCATCTCGCTTCACCCGTAAAACGACTCCTTCCGTCAGCACCGGTGTTCCTTTTGGTACGTCCGCTCTGTCCACCACTTCGTATGCGTCCAGCTCATCGAACTTGGCCAATTCTGCATCCACAGCGGCTTGCCAAAGAGGTGCGTACGGGTCCTTGGTCATTTCCTGAAGTGTTTTTGGCTCTTTGTATGTCAGCTCCACCATGGGGACGCCGGTTGCTGCACATCCTAGTACGTTCGGCTGCTGCAAGTTGGGAAAGCGTGTGAATGTTTGTCCTGCCTGCCGCCTCCCAAATAGTACGTCCAGTCCTGTCATGTTGTCCGTCCCTTGTCCTTCTCCTCCAAGCACTGTCACCGTTGGGTTGAAGTGAACCCGCCGTGGTGGCACGTTAGGAGCAGCCAGCGGGATCCCATCGGGTGGGTAGGCATAGTCGTAGAGATGACTTGCTTCATTTTCTGGTTCGTTTTTGTCAGCACCTTCACAAACAGAGATGCCTGCTGCTGGTAAGTCACTTTTCGCAGTCTCTTCTCTTGTATCGGCTTCATTAGCTGCTGGTGGGTCTTCTTGAGCTGCGTCATTTGCCTTAGTTCCATGCTGTTCTGCTGTAGCGACGTCAGAAGATGACGGGGAGGAAGTGTGAGAGGCGGGAAAAGAGTCGAATGCTGACCCAACGTCCTCTCCCCCTGAAGTCCACTCCGAAATATGAGGTGAGACTTCATCCATGTACCGTTGGCGTTCGAGCAGAGACTCGGCGTCCGGGAGCATGAGGTCGTCAAAGAAACGAGCTGAGCGTGTGTCCGTGTCAACGTCGCTTGCCAAGTCCCGCACGATCCATGCTTTTCGTGAGTTAGAGAGGCCGAGAAACATGCCTGCCCATCCTCGTTGCTCAAATTTCCCAAAGCTGCCTTGGGGAGGGAGATAGTAGCAGAGGCATCCGAAGGTCCTGGCCATGGAGACATCTGCTGCCTTTCCCGTCATCATGAAGTACGGTGAGTGTGCGAATGGGTTGCTGCTGCAGCTGATGCGGTTGTGTAACCATGCCGCATATTCCAGCGCATAAGGCCAGAATTTAGAGGAAAGGCTGGCCCCGGTAGTCATTGCACGCACTCGGTCCATGAGCGTTCGGTTAACCCGCTCGGCGACTCCATTCTGCTGCGGCGTGTGTGGTAAAGACGTTTGGTGATTGATGCCTTGAGCACTCAGATAATCCGTGAATGCATTGGCTGTATACTCCCCTCCATTGTCCGTGCGTAAGGCAGCCAGTGGTTTCGTGGGCAACTTGGTCTTCATTTCGCGATATTGTGGGAAATGGGGCCTTGCTCATCTTCCCTCGAAGACATGAGTCACACGGGGGTTTGAGAGGGTTTGTCTTGTCGGATATGGAGAGTCCTTCAACATCTCCATTGCGAAATGTTGCATCCATGGATGAATATGATGGGTGGCCCAAGCGCTTATGGGCCATGCGATATGTGATGGATGCATGAGCAGATTGCACATTCAGCCCTCCAAGATCTGTCGCATTCAGTGCTTCATTCGGATGATCATGACCAAATTCATGGGCGGATGTAAGTGCAGGCTCATAGTGCACCATTAACACCCTATGGATGACCATTCCAACTCCAATGAGTACATGCTCATCTCCATCCGCCATTGTGATCTCCGTGTGTCCATCCTCACGTGTGTGAATTCGTGCTCCCTTCTTGTACAGCTAGCAATAAGAGAGCAGGTTGGACTTCAAGCCGGGTACGTAGAGCACGTCCGTGTAGCGCACTGTTGTCCCATTGGGTGCCGTTGCTCGGATTGTTCCCGCCATCGAGCTCAACAGGTGGCTTCCGTCAGCAAGCTCCACGTAAACAGGTTCGTTCACCTCCTCTAGACCCTCAAACCACTCCTTTTCTGAAGTCATGTGTTGGCTGCATCCGCTGTCCAGCAACCACATCGACCCTCCGGTTGACGGTAATGTTGCTTGTGACGATCGAACCGTTGCAATGCATGTAACGGTTCGTTTGTTGTCTCCCCCGGCTGCTCCTTGCTGTTTTGACGCTTGGCTGTCACGTTTCGGGCTTTCACTTCTTCGAGGCGAGGACGAACGGCTACTCCAGGTGCGCTGGTTTGTCCTTCCTCTGTTTTGTGGTTCCCAACCTGGTGGTGACCAACCCGGAGGCGCCTTAGGACACTTGTAGAACGGGTGGCCAGATTCCTTGCAGTACCAACACACAAGGTTAGACCGCCCTCCTTTTCCTTCGTTGCCTTTGAATTTGTCCCCAACCGGCGCTTGTTGCCCTCCCGTTGACCTTGCCGCATTCTGGTTGCCCTTTGTCTCGATCCTCTCCTTTGCTGGTGAAGTATCCCCACGTGCTTGACCAGCCATGCGGGGAGGACGTTTGTCACGGTTGGTCTTGCTAATGAGGTCTTGATAACGTTGTTCCTGAATCATCATTCGCTGTAGTGTGTAGCTGTCCGAGATGTCGTGTAGCATAGCTGAATGCCTTAGCTCCTCCCAATGCGGCGGCAGCCCGGTAATCAGATTTAAGGTGAATGAATCTTCTTCTACCATTTTTCGCGCCATTGCCAACTTGTCACGAATTGCAGTTGCTCGGTTGATGTATTCCTCCACTCTTTCTTGACTCCCCATCTTCAGGTTGTCCAATTGCCTTTGGAGAGATGCCTTTGCCACCAAATCCTTTGCCTGGTAAGTCTCCATCAGGTACTCCCATGCTTCGAATGCCGGACTGTATGACTCTTGGAACACATCCAGTTGCAGCTGAATCGTTGCGCTCACGCTATGTAGCAGTACCCAAAAAGCCAGCGTAGCCCGTTGTGAGTAATCTGCTTGCAGAACTTCCAGCCGTTCCATTGCATCTCGCATGTCTCCATTTGCCATTGTAACCGGGTATTGTAGTGTCACGAAAAACTCCCACCGATTTGTCACGCGCGCGTTCATGCGAAACCGAAGAGCCCACTCTCGGAAGTTAGTCCCGTCGAACGGGGTTGTTGTGAATGCTTTGTCCACTGCTGCTCCCACCATCTTGCGTGACAACCTGTCCTTGTCTTCTTCCGTGTACTCTCGTGGAGACGGGTCGAAGAGCGTAGGCACGTTAGATGGTCGAGGTAGTTGTACCGTGCGTTGTGCGCCTTCACGTTCCACCACTTCCACTTGATCACGTCGCATAACACCACTTGACTGCATCCCGTGCCCCATGCGCCCCATGCTTCCTGCAGGTACAGCTTCCATTTGAGACCGTGGCGCACGAGGAGGTATGACGTTGTTGCCCAAAATGTGAGATCTGCCCATCACGGGAACTCCAATAGGATGGGAGATAGTAGCAAGACGTCGTAGTGGGGGAGCACCAATAGTGTAAGATTCGAATCCCACACCTTCCATGCCCACATGACCGCTTCGACCACTCCCTTCACCAATCTGTCCTCTCATGTTTCTTCCCATGCCGATCCCATCACCATGCTCCATCACATTCGTTCCACTCCCGTACGCATCATCCCTCCCCGTTGCTTCCCTTTGCATGGTTGACTGAGGTTCGGGGTGGGAGCTCCCCTCTCCTTGGAAGGATGCATCCCTCCCTTGGGATGACTCTCCTCCTTGGGGTAAGCTTCCCTCTCCTTCACCTTCAGTCCCTGCATCCATATTTGAAGTATGGGTTTGGTTAGTACGCGGAGTGTTTGGGTTGCTGAAATTTCGAACTTGGGCTGACATGTTGAACTTTGCTCTTAATGACGCTTGGAGTGTCGGTGGTGCCCTTGCAATCATGTTCTCCAGGTGCTCGTGTTGAGCCATGATGGCTTCTTCAAACGCCTCGTATCCAGCATCGACTTCATCGTCGAACCGCGCCATGCCTTCAATCCAAATGTTGTCACTTGCTGTGCGAGTTTGCTAATATGTCTGTCCAATGTGAATGCTGAGAAGGTTCTGACTAATTTTTGGCAGCATGCCCCCTAGAGTCGCTCTGATATCATGCTAGAAAGGCATGATGCCGGTATTGCGGAAGCTAGATTGTAGAAAGAGCAAGGCTGGAAGACTTGCACTGAATGGTTGAAAGCAGAATGAGAATAATGGAATTGATTTCCTGAAATGACAGAGCAGGGTATATATGTCAGCAGCTCACCCCATCAGGAGGGCCCTGTCCACACCAATAATCCTACACCAATAATTCTATCCGCCAATAATTCTTACCCTCCAATAATTCTAGACTCCAATAATTCTGGCCCTCCAATAATTGTACAATTATTGGAGGGCTGGGAGTCTTATAAAGGAACACTACATTAAAATCTAACAGCATTTGTAATATCTTATGTTGGTGTATTTAACACTCCCCCTTGCTGTAGGTTTTACTGTAGTGTTCCTTTATAAGACTCCACCTGGTATAGGGGGAGAGAACCTGGTATAGGGGGAGTGGCACAGGGCAACATGGAGCAACACAGGGTCAAGGGGGGCAGCACAGGGTAACATCACAGGGTACAAAGGGTAACATGGGTGAAACAGTCAGGTTCGACGAAGCATTCTCACCTCGGTAGGAAGGAGAAAGCCGTGCGCTGCCAGGAGTAGCAGCAGTGGGCCGCCAGGAGTAGCAGCAGTGGGCCGCCAAGAGTAGCAGCAGTGGGCCGACAGGAGCAGCAGCCGTGCGCCACCAGGAGCTGCAGACGTGCGCGCCAGAGCGCCAGGTGCCGATGCCGGCTGCAGCCGCTCACGCTCGCTAGCTGGTATGGGCGGGGGCAAGGAAAATCACAAGAGAATGTGGGAGCAGTAACAAGTGACTCAGCACGGTCAGTGCTGTAGTACATCAGTTGCAAGGAACACACATGGGTGATGAAGAGGTCAAGGTGCAAGCAGTGGTAGTTACACGGTGAAGGGCTACTCACCAAGTCACGACAGAGTAGGCACGCAGCTGCAGCGGTGCGGCGTCGGAAGCTGCTGATGTGAGAAGGCCCCGCACCTGCCAAGAGCCAAGTATCGCAGTGCAGATGCTGCCACAAGGTCGCCCGAAATGGCAAGGGGAGGGCGCGCACCAGCAGAAGCCGCCACATGCGATGTAATGCAGCGGCGCGCATGCTGCTGCAGTCGTGCGCCAGCCGCTGCTGCCGATTGCCACGGGCGCCATGAACAGCAGTCGCGCGCAAGGAGTTGTAGCGCGCAGGTTGTCAAGCGAGGAAGTCACGGCAGCCGCGCGACCGAAGCAGCAGTCGCGGATCTGGCCGCAGCCGCAGGAAACGCGCATCCGGCGCTGCAGGTCGTCACGTGCGCTGCTGTCATCGAGCGCCAGCCATGACATGGCGAGCGCTAGTGATGCGCGCTAGCTACAGCTGAAGGACATCGTGCCATGGCGCAGCGCAACGCACACCAGAAAATCGTCGCGACTAAAGCAGCAGTCGCACGACAGCAAAGGAAATCGGGTCAGCACTGGAAGGCGGAAAAAGCAGCGCGTCATAGGTCGCATGACAAGAAAGAAGCCGTGCGCCATGAAGATATTCGCCAGCAACAGCTATCCTAAGACCAAGGGAGGCAATCCGCCCTGCTGCTGGGAATCGCGCTGACCTAAACTGTCATTTCACCATGGAGATTGCAGCTTGAGCAGCAGCCATCGATCTGGAGGTCCTGCAGGAAACGAAAGACTGGGAATCGAGAATGACGAGTGCTGGGAGTAAAATGACGAGTGCCTTTACTGTAAAATGACAGAGCAGGGTATATATGTCAGCAGCTCACCCCATCAGGAGGGCCCTGTCCACACCAATAATCCTACACCAATAATTCTATCCGCCAATAATTCTTACCCTCCAATAATTCTAGACTCCAATAATTCTGGCCCTCCAATAATTGTACAATTATTGGAAGACTGGGAGTCTTATAAAAGAACACTACAGTAAAATCTAACAGCATTTGTAATATCTTATGTTGGTGTATTTAACAGTTCTGTCCCCCTCCGCCCCCGCCAAGTGCCAACACTGTCTGGCCAGCAGTTGTTGTCATTTGGTGGAGGTGGGGGTGGGCAGAGCCAGTCCCTAGTAGGGCTCCCGCATGTCTTGGGCGAAGCAATGCTCAAGGCTCAGCCTTCCTCTCTGCCTGTTGCGCTGCCAGTCCATGCCGGGGTGGGCATGGATTGCATGCTGCCTCTAGAATGGATATTAGTTGCTAGGATGCAGCTTGTTATGTCTTGAGATAGTGAATATATGGACCATATTTACCGGTAGTGCACCTTCAGGATCATGACAAGCTGTTTGTACACTGTTTGATTTACTGAAGAGAATGCAGGTGTTCTGGTTTGGAAGTATTGCTAAGAGTATACAATGAAATGAAACACATGAACATGACTCAGGATAATCAGAACTGGTTCACAAAAGGATAAACAGTTTGCATCACGGAAGAATGCATTGGTGATTAGCATTGATGAACGGTGCTAATCGGGGCATCTTTCCGAATTCTTGCCATGGCTGGAAAAGCGCCACACATCAATGGTACTACAATGAATCTCAGGATTATCAGAACTGGTTCACAAAAGGAGTCTAATGAAAATGAAACATTGGTGATTAGCATGGATGAACGGTGCTACGGTAATTGAAGCATCTTTCCGAATTCTCGCCATGGCTGAAAAAGCGCCAGACATCTCGGCAGAGAGCGCAGCGGCGGAAAGCAGTGGGCACAAGCTAAGGCGTCCTGTCCGTCCGCACATATGTGAAGTTGAATCTCGCGTTTCGAAGCCAGTTGTAAACCAGAGAGAATGACCCGCCCTAAGCATTCCTTGATCTGGAAGAAACCCGAGCGTGCTAGTGAGCCAGAGAGGAGGCATCGCATGGCAGTAAGAATCGCTCTTCGCGCTGTCGCGAGCAATCGCACGATACACGGTAGAGAGGGTCGACCCGATGCTAGCCATTAATGTATGGGAGTGCTGCGTAATGCGCTACCTAGTGCGCTGCCTAATGCGTTGCGTCATGCGCTGCCTACGACGCTACCTACCGTAGCAATGCGCTTCTGCTACTGCTTCTGACACGGGGACCCGCGGGGACGCAAGGGGACGGTTCGCCGAGATCGCACACGGGCTTCGCCGGCGTCGCCGTCGTCGTCGCAGCGGGGCGGCCGTCGCAGCAAGGCAGCGTGTTCGAGTGCGACGAGTCGCAGGCCGCCATGTACTCCGCGTCGTTCGATCCCTGTACTCCCCCTCCCCACTTCTCTCCTTTTCGCCCTTCCCCGGAACGCTCCTCGTGGGGATGCCCGGAACGCTCCTCGTGGGGATGCCCGGAACGCTCCTCGTGTGGCAACCAAAGGCGATTTGGATTTCTTTGTCCCTCCCCTTCCGGGATCGATGTGTCTAGCTCTGACATTCTTGAATCTTCTTCTGCGGATGCGCGCCTACTCTCACTCACCTCCTCTCGCGCTATCCAGCTCTCTCGTCCCTCCCCCACCCCCTTCTCCTTCTCGTCACGCGCGCCTGCACCTGATTCCCCCATTCACTCCCGCTCCCCCCTTCTCCCCCTCTTCCCCCCTCCCCCTGCTCCTTCCTCCGCGTCCTCCCCCCAGCCGCGGCTCCATGCGCGCGGTACCTCGCAATAGCGCTGAGACAAGCGCGCCTCCTCCTAGCCACCCCTGTTCCCCCGTATTCTCCCTCCCTCCGCTCCCCCCGCACCTTTTCCCCCCTCCTCCGCCAGCCGCGGCGCCATCCGCGCGGCCGTGGGGAATCTCTGGGAGCAGCTGAGCAAGGCGCGCCTCCACCTGGCGGAAGCCATGGCTCTCGCGCGCCACTGGGGCGCACGCTCGTGCTGCCACGTGTCTGTAGCAGCCGCATCGGCGGCAACAACCCGCCACGTGGCATGCTCCCCGCGTGCGCTCGGTGCTGATGGGGCGGTTCGTGCCGTGGGTGCGCGAGGAGTACCTCTGGCGGACAGTGGTGCCCTGGGGCGCGGGGATGGGGACGCGGGGGAAGGGGATGGGGACGCGGGGGAAGGGGATGGGGACGCGGGGGAAGGGGATGGGGACGCGGGGAAACGGGCAGGAGGAGGAGAAGGGGAAGGAGGCGGAGGAGGGGTACGAGGGGAAGAAGGAGAAGGGAGAGGAGGTGGAGGAGGCGAGGGGAGGGGGTGGAGGAGCGGCACGGTTCTCCTGGATGACTTGAGAGGGCAGCGATGCAACCTGGTGCGCTGCCACTGTGAGATGCCGTGGTGGTGGGTGAAGCAGCGGAGGAGACGAGGCACAGGAGAAGGAATTTGAGGGTCAGGAGAGGGGACGAAGCGAAGCGAATATCCCTTCACCCCTCTACCCTCTCTCTCTCTCTCTCCCCTATTCTTTCCTCCTTTCCCGACTTTACCTCCCTCCCCCTCCCTTTCCCCTCTTCTTCCCACCCTTCCGCTCTCCCTACTCCCACCCTCCCCTCCTCCCCTCTTTCAGGCAGAATTAGCCAAAGAGCACCTAGCATACGCGCCGCACCTGCTCCGACTAGCCTCCTCCTTCGCAGCCCAGCACCTGGGGGGAGGCCAGTACGTGGCGGCCCACTGGCGGATAGAGAAGGCCATGATGAGCCACCGGTCGCCCGTGCAGCTGAGCCGCATGGGGAATAGCCCACACGCCATGCACTCGCCAACCACCCCCCCCCCCCTCCCGGCACCTCCCACTGCCTTCCACCCTCTCCTTCTCCCTCCCTCCCTTCCTCCCCCTCTTCAGGCGGAGTTAGCGAAGCAGCACCTAGCATACGCGCCTCACCTGCACCGGCTGGCCTCCTGAGGAGCAGGCGGTGCAGCACCTGAACGGCGGGCGGTACGTGGCAGCGCACTGGCGCGTGGAGAAGGCGATGATGAGCCACCGGTCGCCCGTGCACATGCACCTGTGCGTGCAGTGGCTGCTTAGAGAAACGGCGGCGTGGCCGCTCCAAGAGAAAGAGAGAGGAGCGATGGTGGGGGAGAGCGGAGGGAGCGTAGGGGGAGGAGGTGGGGGAGAAGGGGAAAAGGTACCGGTGTTTATGGCTACGGATCTGACTCCGGAGAACAAGTGAGCAGTGGGGGCAAACCGGAGGTAAAGTGTGAACGCGTTCTTCTCGTTTGGAGGGAGTGGAAGGAGGCAAGGCGGGGTGAAGGGCGTGGCGGAAATGAAGGTAGGTAGCCCTGTTTCTGGTCAGCGTTTTCCCTTATCCATCCGTTCGATCAATCTTTCGCCCTCTCTTCCTTCCCGCCTCTCTCCCTTGTTCCATCTATCCCACCCTCTCTCCTCTCCCTTTGCTCGTTCCCTCTCTCCCTCCCTCCCTCCCTCCCTCCCTCCCTCCCTCCCTCCCTCCCTCCCTCCCTCCCTCCCTCCCTCCCTCCCTCCCTCCCTCCCTCCCTCCCTCCCTCCGTCCCTCCGTCCCTTCCTTCCTCCCTCCCTCCCTCCCTCCCTCCCTCCCTCCCTCCCTCCCTCCCTCCCTCCCTCCCTCCCTCCCTCCCTCCCTCCCTCCCTCCCTCCCTCCCTCCCTCCTTCCCTCCCTCCCTCCCTCCCTCCCTCCCTCCCTCCCTCCCTCCCTCCCTCCCTCCCTCCCTCCCTCCCTCCCTCCCTCCCTCCCTCCCTCCCTCCCTCCCTCCCTCCCTCCCTCCCTCCCTCCCTCCCTCCTTCCTCTTACCCGCATGCAACCAGGTGGCTATCAGGCACGGCACGATTCGACCAGCACCATCAGGACGTTGCAATTTACGCCGTCAAGGTCAGAGCCACCTCCCCTCCATTGCACGTGTTTTCTGAGCGTTCTATTCTCAGAAACCCTCCACACACATCACGTCTTCATAAGCAGCAGCACCAGGGCATTGCAATGCATATTCATGCCGCCAAGATCGGCACAGCAGCCCCGACCCACCCCTTTCAATAGCACGCAGGGTTGCATTCAAATGGTTACCCTACTCTCTGTGCCCCATGCCATCTCTCTGCAGCAATATTACTCTTAGCTTCCAGCATGTAGCAAGCTACTGTCCCTTTCGTCCCCTCGTCTCGTCTGTCCCCCTCGTCCCCTCTTCCGTCCCTCGTCCACTCTCCTCTCTGTCGACCGTGCCCCGGTCCCACCCGGCCCAACCTATCACCCCTCCCATCCTCCCCAGGAACTCTACTCCCTGCTTAAGCCCACTCGGCTCGGGTCCTTTCTCCCCGGTTTGAGAGAGGCGGATCTTGGAGTGCAGGTATGCGCCTCTAGTCGATCATTAGTGGCCTTGGAGAGACGGAAGGGATGCTTACACTGGAGTGCAGTCTCGTAGCTTCCATCAAATGGAGTGCACTGTCAGACTCCATTGCTCATCGTGACCCCAAAGGATCATCTAGAAACGTGTGGATGATCGGAGGCTGCAAAAGATCATCAAGACTTGAGAAACCCTCGGAGTTGTGGTTCGCCATCTGCTCATACTAACACAAAGCATCAGACAATCATCCCAAGCCCTGACTCTCTCTCGTCTCATCCGGCCTTTCCTCCATACATCTCCGTCCGTCCATATCTCCCTCTTCTGATCTACCTTCTCCCAATTTTCATCTCGTTCTTGATGAGCCAAGCGTTCCTCTTCAACTCTTCCCCCTCCCATGAACTTGCGCCCCTCTCCCTCTCACCCCCCCCACCAGGCCATATTGGACAAGCTGCTGTGCATAAAGGCAGCAGTGTTTTTCGTACCTGCCACTCAACTGCAGAAACTCACATCCCCATGTATGGCCCTTCCCTCTTCCTCTTCCCTCCCGCCCCCTCACACCCCACCAGGCCATATTGGACAAGCTGCTGTGCATAAGGGCGACGGTGTTCCTGTACCCGCCAGTCAGCTGCAGGAACTACGTGCCCACAGGGAGTGGCTCCGCAGTTGCAGATGAGATCTGCTGGTGGCGCGAGCGCCTAGCGCAGCAGCGGAATATGAGCAGGGGAGGGGAAGGTCTGACCGTTTGCAGGATGTGGGGGGCAGATTTTGATTTGGCAGCAGGGGAAGGAGGGCGGGGGAGAAGTGGCGGGACAGGATGTGGGGGGGAGGGGGTGTTGATTTGGCAGCATCAGGGGGGTGGGAGCAGGGGAAGAAGCGGTTGCACAGGATGTGGAGGGGCGCCATTGATCCTCTAGTGTGATGTGGTGTTTTAGTGTCCTTTCCACTGGTTTGTTTTTCAGGTGGAATGAAGTCATAGTTGCTATGTTATCACCACACCTTTATTATCATCAAGGTCTGATACGTCTTGTATTCCCTATCTGACAGTGTGGTCAATTATGTATATACGGTAGAAACTTTGTCAGAGCTTGAAAAGCTTGCAATGAGACGATCTGCGAAAAAAAAAAAAAAAAAAAAAAAAAAAAAAATATCCAAGCTCACAGGTATAGGTACACCCCAAGCACTACCTAGGTATGGTATTTGAATTAGCCAAACACACTAAGAGAGTATCACACCATGGTCACCGTTGAATCCACTCATTAGCACGAATATTTGTCTGATCCAGGTCAATGCGGATTGACACGGCCTGCACAGAATCGAGGCGCGCCAGCAAAATTAGTCCCATGAGACATCTGACTGACGCCAGCAATAATATTCAGGTGCAATACACCAGAGGGCACAGTACCCTTCTCACCTTCCCTGTGCGAGGCCTTTCCTTGGTGGCAGCTAGGCCTGCCCTGACCAACCCCACGGCCCCCCAGCACCTCAGGTTCTCTGCAACTCTGTCCAGCCTATACAAGTACTCCTCCTTTGTCAGGGGAAAGGATTTCTGGTAGGTATGTGAAAAGGCAAATGCAGGAACCGAAGGGCAAGGAAGGGCAAGACGTTTAGATGTGGGAGCCTACTCCCTGGAGGGGACAGAGGGTGTGTGTGTGTGTGAGAAAGAGAGAGAGAGAGAGAGAGAGAGAGAGAGAGAGAGAGAGAGAGAGAGAGAGAGAGAGAGAGAGAGAGAGAGAGAGAGAGAGAGAGAGGGAGGGAGATTGATAGCGGAAGAACAAAAAGAGGGTCGGGGAAACCGAAGAGGGGATACCAGTAAGGGAGGGATAGAGGTTGGAGGCCAGGGTGGAAGAGGATTGACGCTGAGCATGACGCAGCAACAAACCTGCTCTCGGTACTTCCACATGACGTTCATGGCAAGCAGTTGACGGCCCAAGAATTCCTGCCAGGAACGTTCAGGGGGGCAAGGCAAGGCAGATTGCGGACGGAGACTTGCGAGAAAGGGCGTTCATACTATTGTGCGGCGCTCATGGCAGATTGACTTGGCGCTAAAAGGGTGCAGCAAAGAATGGCCACGCGAGACGCACAGGAGCCAGCAATCCAGGTAACATTGTTCAACCACAAAGCAGCGACTCTGGGGAAAAGCGATCCCTGGCATTTCTAATTGTCGGCTCACCTTTCTAATGAGCTGCACGTCGTACGAGCGGGAGTATTTCTGGTAAATCAGCGCCGCTTGCTGCTTGAAATGAGACGAGATTTGAGCCTTCTCAGTACATGAGCGACTCACCTTGCGAATGAGCTGCACGTCGTACGAGCGCGAGTACTTTTGGTATATGAGCGCCGCCAGCTGCTTGCCGTCGAAGCTGTCGTCGTCTCGGTTCACGAGGCCCTCCATGCGCTGACGGAATTCGTCGGAATCCGACCCGGAACCCTGGGGTGGGGGATCATCACGACGACCACGAGGTTGATACAATACACAAAGTACGGAATGTTTCTGCTGCTCGTATCCTGGGAAATAAATGCGTGCAGGTTCGCACTTAGCAAGAGCGACTACTCATGACAGGGCGGATTCGACGCCCGTAACTGCGAAGCGACAAGTTACCTCGCCACCGTTGGTGCTTCCTTCGCCCGCGTTCGCGTGGCATTTTAGCCTTCGTGAAACGCATCTCGGCACCCTTATCGTAGAATTCACCCGAAAATGCCGGCCACTCAAGATGGATGATTGTTGTTGAAGCACCAACCGGCGAGGTATTTGAGAAACGGAACACGGACCGTCCGATCCGGAAAGGCATCTGTTTAACGAGCCTGGCGAGGCAAATCCTACGGCACTTCGCACTGTATTACTGCAATTTACAGGCTCCACATGAATGGAGCTGGCAAGAGGAACTACGCTGGAGCGTACTACGGCTTCCATAGCGGAAAACAGACGGATTATCACACCCGCGAGGTAATTGAATACAACACTCCGTGCACTACGCGAAAATAGTTGCGGTGAGAAACCACAATTTTCAGAACCGCGCTCTGGCGTGAATCGTGTAGGAGCGCTGTGAGTGACGAGGAGCAGACGAGAGTTTGCCTGAAGCTGGGTGGGTGTATGCATGATGCACACGGGCAGGCAGCACAGCACAGCCCCTGCGTTGTGTGTCTTCGTTTCGTCTCGCCTCGCCTCTCGTCGCGCCATTCGGTGGGTGTGGCATGCTGTGATTCGCCCACACAGCATCTCCGTGTCATACCCGCGATCTCCCTGTGCTGTCCCCTCTTTCATTCCCCCTCCCCCCCCATCGCTGCCCAGTGTCCATTCGCTGGAATTCTGTATCGTAGTTCCGCATGCCCAGATTCGTCAGTCACTACACTCGAGATTGCTTTCCCAACATTTCCTAGCGAGTGTGACTGCATCGGGGCTGCAGCGAAACGAGAGGCTCTTGTTTTGGCGACGTCAGACTTGCAAACGCGGTACTGGAATCACGTGCTGCCGCGTGGAATGTGAATAAGGGACACGTGGAGGCGAATAGTTAGCTCAAGATAGCTTGGCGCGCAAGTCCCTTATAAGAAACCTTTTGTTCGTTGCGGGAAGGGTTTAAATCATCTATATACCTATAGTAAGAATATCTGTATTCGTCTTACCAGCATATGGACTGAGAATTTGCTCTTTGTCTGAATGGATGTACTGTATTGTTCTAAGAGATACCCTTCCACCAGATAAACCTACTTCCTCTGCTGCAGTTATGGATACCTTCAATCATTAACATGGACACCCTGAAGTCTGTTAGCTAGAAGCTCTGCACTCAGCTGCTACTAAATGTTGCAGGTTTGGCGTGAGTCAAACTCGATAGTATGATGGTTCACTTTTTGGCCATGGTAAAAGACGGTACTAAGATGATGAATCCTAAGATACTGGCCATTAAAGGAAGTTCGTCAGGTCGTTATCCATTGCAGTGGAACCCTCGAATCTGTCAAATGCAATCCTCTGGTACATGAGCATCACTACAAGAAAGCCTAGGGAAAACAATTTCACATGGAAGAAGGAACAGAATTGAGATGACGCTTTTCGAACACATAACAAAGCTCCAAAAGCCGCTTCACGAACTTGTGGTAGGCCGCAAGCAGCTAAATCTCAACAGGTTTCACGAGAAACGATGTATGAAGAAACATCAAGCTAACGCCACTGCAGCAGGCGGGAGAGGAGTTTTCATACAGACGGCATCACCAACATCGGGTGACATAGTCACGCAAACAAAAGCTTGAAGAAAATCGTAACGATGTTGGCAGCAATCAATGGCACTGGGAGAAGCCAAAGAATGTTTAGGAAGAGAAGAATTGTACGACAAACGACTGCAGAAGAAAACCATGGCAGTAATACAAATTAAATTGGCTACATGGCTCCAATGCTTGTGAATGTCCTTTCATACCCCGTAAATACTGAACCGCGTGTATCAGTCCGACCACTTGCACCTTGAGCGGCGCCGTTTGTCCATTCGAGAGTTGATGAAAACCTAACCCATCTGCAGACGGGAAAGCGAGCTTAGACCAGTAATAATCCCAAGCATCAGCCGAACGCTAGAGATGGATTACATGGTACAAGAAACCGCTGCTCGTTTAAAACAGCGAGAGAGTTGGCGAGCAGAAGCACAGCGTAGAGAAAGTCCCACATGACTGTCAACCTCGAAGGTCTGCCATTCCACCAGATGTGTTTGCACCAGATGTGTTTCCTGTGCAACCCATGGCGCGCAGTATGAAAGTGGATCTGGGATGGAACGCGGGAGAGTCTGACTTCTGGAAGGTGTAACCATCATTTGCAACATCAGCGAATTGCGCGTACTGCACCCAATTTTGTGTGTTACTGTCGTCAAAATTTATTCGCACAACTCGGCTACCCAAGTTTGGTGGCTGGATCACATCCATCCCAAATCTCAAAAGGTTTCTTTCTTTTACTCTCTCCAACTCAGGTCTTGAATCTGTAGTTCAGTAGGTTTCGCCTAACTCTCAGTGCCTTCGGGCTCGTGTCACCATGTCTCTCCGGCCGAATGCTCGCACGGAGGCGAGAAAGTCTGCTTACAAGCAAGCTGTTAACGCTGATGAGGCTCGCAGGCGTCGCGAGGACAATATGGTCGAGATCCGTAAGAGCAAGAGGGAGGAGAGCCTCCTGAAGAAGCGCAAGGAAGGAATGCAGGCTCAAGTAGAGCTGCCCAAAATTCCTGTCGCAACTGTCGAGAAGAAGGTGCGCTCTGTTCCGCTCCTACCGCTGTTCGCGTTTTCGTTATTTTCTGCGGTATTGTGAATGACTTGCCTGCTTCTGTGTTGTTAGTTGGAGAGCCTTCCGGCTATGGTACAAGGCGTATGGTCAGAAGATCCACCGGCTCAGTTGGAAGCAACGACGCAGTTTAGGAAGCTGCTTTCGATCGGTATGTTCCTTAAGCCCGTTGTGCCATCCAAGTTCCTTAGAACCTGTCTCGTGATCTGACGGCCGATCTCTTTGTTCACAGAACGTAGTCCGCCGATCGAAGAGGTCATAAAGGCTGGCGTTGTGCCCAGATTCACGCAGTTTTTGCAGAAGTATGACTTCCCTCAACTTCAGGTTAGTTTTCTAGATTGGATCTTGCATTTTACGCACAAATATTTCTTAATTCATCTGGTGTCTGACTTAATCTTTTAATTTGCAGTTCGAAGCAGCGTGGGCTTTGACCAACATCGCTTCTGGTACCTCTGACCACACCCGCGTGGTCATCGAGCATGGGGCAGTCCCTATATTCGTTCAGCTTCTTAGCTCTCCCAGTGATGACGTCCGCGAGCAGGTTAGGTTCTAAAGAATTCAGTCAGGGCAGTTGTTCTGAGTGTGCGTGGACACTGGCACTGACAAGCAAAGTCTGATTTGCAGGCTGTATGGGCACTCGGTAACATCGCAGGCGATTCGCCTAAGTGCCGGGATCTTGTTCTGAGCCACAACGCCATGGGACCGCTGCTTGCTCAGTTGAACGAAAACTCCAAGCTGTCAATGCTCCGGAATGCTACCTGGACGTTGTCGAACTTTTGCCGTGGAAAGCCCCAGCCTCCATTTGAGCAGGTATATGGCTTGGTTCTTCTCGTCCACCTATTTAACGTTTTGCTGGCGTTTAACATTTGTATTCTTTCTGTCTTGCAGTCGAAGCCCGCTTTGCCTGTCCTCGAACGCCTGATCCACTCTACGGATGAGGAGGTTTTGACTGATGCTTGTTGGGCGCTGTCCTATTTGTCCGACGGAACTAACGACAAGATTCAGGCTGTCATTGAGGCGAATGTTTGTCGGCGGTTGGTCGAGTTGCTCCTGTAAGTTAAACCCTGATCATTCTGGTTTTCTACGATTTCTACTTGTGAGAATTAACCGAGCTTTCTCTGGGGTTTCCAGGCACCCATCGCCATCTGTTTTGATCCCTGCTCTTCGAACGGTTGGCAACATTGTCACAGGAGATGATCATCAGACGCAGGTACGGGTTGACGGAATTCTATGGCTGAAATCTTGTAAGTAGGTTTGCGTTTTAACTCATCCCTGTTTGCTTTCAGGTCATTATCGAGAACCAAGTGCTGCCATGCCTGCTTGCCTTGCTCACAACAAATCACAAGAAAAGCATCAAGAAGGAAGCGTGCTGGACAATATCTAACATCACTGCTGGCAACAAGGAACAGATTCAGGTAATGATCGCCCCGTTTATCCTCCACTTCCGCTTTCGCTGCTTCCGTTCTAATCAAGAATGTGTCTTTTTGTATGTGTAAGAAACTTACGCTCTTTGTTCTCATCTTCGTTCAGGCTGTTATTGATGCCAACATCATTCCTCCATTGAAGCACCTGCTGGAGACTGCTGAATTTGATATCAAGAAGGAAGCGGCATGGGCTATTTCAAATGCTACTTCTGGTGGCACTCATGATCAGATCAGGTATGGCATTGAATGATTCAACGCTATTGCAGTTGTCTGTGCTTAGTTTCTCACTTCAATGTTTGTGCCCTTTCCAGGTACCTCGTGTCCCAGGGCTGCATTAAGCCACTGTGCGATCTGCTGCTCACTTCTGATGCAAGGATTGTAACTGTTGCGCTGGAAGGTCTGGAGAACATTCTGAAGGTTGGAGAGGCAGACAAGGAGTTGGGTCAGACTGGAGGTGTGAACCTTTATGCGCAGTACATTGATGAGGCTGAGGGGCTGGAGAAGATAGAGAATCTGCAGACTCATCAGAACAATGACATCTACGAGAAGGCGGTGAAGATTTTGGAGACCTACTTTGGGCTCGATGAGGATGAGGACCAACAACTTGCGCCTCAAGTTGACGCCAACCAGCAAACCTATGCTTTTGGAGAAAGCCAGCCTATGGCTCCCTCTGGTGGATTCAACTTTGGTTGAGTCGTTTTTACTGAAGTAAGTCATATGTCTACTGGGTTCGTGTTCAGTTATTGTAGGTGATTTACCGCATGACAACAGTGTGCGTGCCTCTGTCATCCTCTTGTGGATTTTCTTGATGCAGGATTGGGGTTGAAGAATGGGTGGAATCATATGGATTTCCTGGTTCTGGACATCATGGATCACCAGCAGCATCTCCCTACCCTTGAACGTGTCTTAGCTTTCGGTCTTGACTGTAGGTGCATTATTTGCACGAATCTTGGTCTCTTGAGTCTTTTCTTTGTGACCACTGGTTAGAGTTAGCAGTCAAGTTATTCAACCACTTTGCACATCATCTCATGCTAGATTAACTTCTTTTGCCAATGTATGAATGCAATTCTGAGATAACATGAGAAATCAACTACGGTTTAGAGGTGAATTGCCACTTTTTCTGTTAGCTTGAATGTTAAGTAGTTTGTATAGCGCAATTTTGTTCCTTGTATCTAATGAGTTGTGATGCGTCTGTTTCTCTGAACCAGAGAGAACTGTGGACATGCAAGAATCTGACGATGGAGACGTGTTTGAAACTCCACGTGGCACACTCACCCCAACCTTGTATTGTATCCCTCCATGCTCGAACCGCATAAAATCCAACTCAACAAATGAATGTTGGACTTTCTTTCGAACCGCATGTCAACAAAGTTAACAATAAAATTGAACAGGATGAGCGAATCCAACCAACTAGTCTCCTACGTAGAGCTCTCTGACTCCTGTAATTGTTCATTCCTGCTGCTGAGAGCTTTCCACACTGCAGTCTCTCACCAGTCCAGCTCGTCACGCTGGCGTCCGCCGCCTCCCTGGCCTCTTTCGCCACTCGTGGGCTGTTCTCCGCCACAGCGCGCAACCGTCGTTCTTCCTCTCTGTCCAGAAGCCGTGATTGGGGCGAGTCCAGGGTATCCTTCTTCCACCAGCGCTTCCACTCGCATCGCCTCACCATGGCGTCCGCCCAGCAGTACAGCACGGAGGAGATTCACAAGATGTCGGACCAGGAGAAGAAGGTAAAACCGGAACGGCCCTTCAGTCTTTGCATCAACCGTTTTTGTTTTTTCGTTCTAATTCGCCCTCCGGAGATTTTCTCGTTTCTGTGCCACTTTCAAACCGGTTTCTGATGTGACGCTGCTGTGCCGTGATGTGCAGGATTTGGAGCGTCGCGTGCAGGAAGGGGAGACGGTGGTGAAGGGTGGCACTGGAGGCAAGTCACTGGAGGCCCAGCTTAACCTGGCTGAAGGTAAACTCCGCAATCGCGAATCTATACAAAACCGCCCACTGACGGCCCGTTAGTGGAGGTGAAATCTCCGCCACTCGTCTGTCCCGCTGAATTGCTCGAGCAAGTTTTGGTGAGCAGGAAGCACCGCTGCTCCACGACCTTCTTATGTTCACACCTGCCTTACTTCCATTCGTCCTTTCGCATCGTTGTTTCACGGATGGCTCACGTCGTGCGTGCGTGCGCGAGTGCGTGAGCAGGGCGCCACAAGGGGGGCGAGAGGGGAGGGCAGGCGCGCGCGGAACAGATCGGCAGCGAGGGATACCAGGAGATGGGGCGCAAGGGCGGGCTATCTACCACGGAGCAATCCGGCGGAGAGGCTGCTGCTGAGAAGGGTATTGACATTGACGAGTCTAAGTACCGCACTACTAAGTAGTGCTGTTCAATGGGTTCCATGCGAAGCAGCCCTTTTTTTTTCTGTGATGTAGTTGTGCTCAGGCGGGCTCGTTGAGATGGGTTGCTCTTGCTGGGCAGTTCAAGGGGGGGGATTGATACATTGGATTGATGGAATGGAGGCGACACGACGGCAGACTCGTTGGTTGTGAACTGAGAGTCTGCCCAATAGTGGCTCCCTGGTGATCCTTGAGCAGGATGTGTCGTGTTGCTCTGTATGGATTCAATACTAGTACATATAATACAGTGTTTTGAATAATTTGGTCTGTAACAGAGTGTACACTCTTTCGTCCGCCACTTGAGCAGGGCATGGGTCGCATGAGGGGGGCCACGGTTCTGGAGGGGGGACGCAATCCGCAGCAGCAAAGCACCAGTACTCTTACGAGGAAGTGAACAAGATGCCTGCAGAAGAGCGCAAGGTGAGCTGCTTCTGCTTCAGGCCCAGTACTTGTAGATGCTTGTGGATAGTATTACAACTCCTCTGATGATCCCTCAAACCATGTCTTGTTCCGCATCCTTGCCTTGTGTGAGTGCTTTGTTTGAGTTTCCAACTCTTATTCCACCCTTCCACACAATACTCTTTGCACTGCTGTGCTGACTCAACACTTGTTTGTCTCACCATCTTGCTCTCCTGTGCTGCGTGCCTGGTTGGTGATTCAGGAGTTGGAGAAGCGTGCAGAGGCAGGAGAGACAGTGGTGAAGGGGGGAACAGGGGGCAAGTCCCTTGATGCTCAGCTGCACCTGGCTGAAGGTATGATCATGACTCGTGACAGATGACATGCTTCCTGTTCAGCCTGTTACTCGCGGGGTTTTGGGCAGCCAGAATAATTGGCTGCTGGCGAGCAAGCTGCTGAAGCTGCTGCTCATACCACCTTGCTGCTAACTCCTATGGGGTCATTTGCTGTTGGCCCTGCAGGACGTCATCGTGGCGGGGAGAGTCGCAGGCACAGGTAGATGGCACAGGTGAATCGCACATATAGATCATACCCACCCGCCTGCTGCGCCTAGATTCCTCTCATCCTCTCGGTGCTTCGGCGCCTGCTGCCGTGGCCATGCCTCAACACAGTTTGCTCTGATGTCGCCGAGTGTAAATAGTTGGCAGCAGCTAAAAATACCAGGGTAGGATGTTAGAGCCAGAAGAATGGGAAACTAGGTGAAGTTGTTTTGTTCAGTTTTGAAACATAAACCTGTCATAATTCTGTGTAGGAGAAGAAAATGAGAGAAAAACAGCTACCTAACTGAACAATGCGCATGCAGACACTTGCACCTCCGTCTGCCGCCACGCTCCCATGCTTTTGAGGATGCAGCAGTTGGGAAAGAGCGGACAGTACCTGGATTGTCGTGCATACGCTGCCATTCCACCCTGAGCGCGCTGTACTGGCGCACTGCAGGAGCGGCGAGGGAGGACTAACAGAAAGGGATGGTAAAAAGGTATGACAAACAAGGAGGGGGGAAGAAGGCTAGGGAGGGAAAATGAATGTTATGAAAAATGGCAAAAATAGGGCATGACTGCTGCTCTCCTCCCCGACCCTCCTGGAGGGCGGTGCAGGCTTGTCAGCAGCATGATGCGGTATGGACGTCGTACCGAAACCGAAACACATTCGACGCTTCGGCCTAGGCTGCCCGTGTTTTTGCTGGCAGCGATAGCGGTGGAATGATGTTTTAGGCATGCTGCTCTGTACCGCGCAGCATGCGGCCGAGCGTGAATATAACAACCCTCGTTGAGGTCGTACTACTACCTCGGAACAGGCTCGGAATCTCGCCACGCTACGACTAAGACATTTCGCCGGCCGGCAGCTTCTCTCGCAGCGGGCTGGAGCAGCTTCTTTCGAAGGCGAGTCTACGATTCACCTCCTCCCCGCATTCGAAATGCCGCGCAAGGTGCCGACTCTGGAACGCTGGAATGCGAATGGGATGGGAACTACCACTTGCAGCGCCGCGCAGAATGCGCTCCAATGTCGTATCCATCCACCCCTAGCTAGTCTCCCCTGTTGGAGATTGCGTGTGTTGGAAGCAAGGTGGTGGTGGGGCGTTTGTATGCCCCCAACCCACCGAATGTGTGACTTGTGCTCACCTTCGAGTGAGTTGCAGGTTTGTGTGGGGTTGAGGATTGACTTCGGAAGACCCATTCGATTCGGTGCCACATGGCAGCACCAGGAACATTCGAGACCCAAGGAGAATTCGGATCGGTGAAATTCGAGAGTCGAATTTCACCCTTTCGAGTGTAGCGGTTCGAGGTTATTTGTGCGATTCAATCTTGTTTGCATGCTATAAATCTGTTTTCTTTGTATTGCATGCCATCATAGTGAAACTCAGAGTTCTTTGTACAAGGTACATTCGAACACAAATTCCAGAGAGCTCCTATCCTTCAATCTAAGAGCACTACCTAGCACATAAACGGCGATATCTCGCTCGGTACTGAGGCGATCGAGGTGATCTACGGCTCGTTGGAAAGCTAACAGAGTGCTCTACTGCTTAGAACACTTCCCAGTTCCTGCAAAGTAGAGGAGAATCCTCTACATCAGTGGTATCAGAGCTGGTCGGAGGAGTCTACGCGCGCGACAAGGAGCAAGCATGCCGACTTCAAGCGAGGCCTCCCGCACTTCCTTGGATGGTGTAGTTGTAAATTCCGGCGAACCCTGGGCAACCGCGACGATGTTCGACACGTCGGCGGTACCGATTTTCACGGGACAAAACTACTCCGCGTGGAAGTTTAAGTTCCAAGTGCTCATGATGGAGCGGGGACTTTGGGGTTTCTTCGATGGAATGGAGAAGAAGCCGGATAGCGAGAGCGACATCGCGGCATGGAAGAAGAAAGACCAAAAGGCGTTCGCTACGTTGATTTCGCGCATCGGCATCAATCTCGTGAGCTCGGTGCGCATGTGCATCAAGCTCGAAGCGTCGGCGCATGAAGCGTGGAAGCGGCTCGAGACCATCCACGTGAACAAGACTCTCCACGGCAAGATCCTAGCCCGGAATGCGTTCTAAACGGTGAAGATGCGCGCGGGCGAATCGATGCACGAGTTTGCGACTCGTGTGGAGGAACTCGGGGAAACGTTCATGGACCTTGGTGGAACGGTCACGGAGGAGGATTGGATTCTCACCTTGCTTTGCGGCCTTCCGGAAGAGTGGTCGACGGTGATTACGACACTCGATAGCGTGCAAGACACTTGGACGAAGGAAATGGTGGTCGGTCGGCTTCTCTATGAAGAATCGCGTCGCCGACAATTTGCTAATGAGAGCGAGGGTGCCGCCATGTACTCCGGAGGGAGTTCCCGAAAAAAGTCCAAGTGGAGCAAGGGCGCAACGAAGGAATCGTCCGGTGGGAGCGAGCATCGCGGCAAGTGTCACTATTGCCACAAACCGGGACATTTTTGGCGTGAATGTCGGAAGCAGCCGAGCGATTGGACTCCATCGAAGGCGCGAGACGAAGAGGGCAACGCGCACACGGCATCCGGCGAGGCGGATGATTCAAAGGAGTCGCTCGTGTTAGTGGCCGGCAACGGGAACAATGAGAAGAAACAAGGAATGAAAATGACTAAGGGAAAGTTGGGTACAAAATGCAAACCCTAGAAAACTGTACCCCATATGTGCTACCCCACTATGGCCTACAGTAGCTCTGTCATATAAATCTGACACACCCCCATAGGCAAAGTGGGGGAGAACAAGGGGTCACAAGACCAGTCAAGCAAAGCAAAGCAAGCTCAGGGTGGATCACAAAGTCACCACACATTCCGAGCACAAGTTCAAGGCCACAAGGCCAGTTCACATGCAGGAGTACATATATATATAAAGGCTAGACAAACAAGAGCAGGTATATATATATGTAACAGCACAAGCAAGGTCAAGAGGTGAGCAAGTGAGGCAAGGTAGGCACAAGGCCCAGCTGAGTACAGAAGCGCTGATGGTCACAAGGCGCAAGAGCCTTGGTGAAGATATCAGCAGTGTTGGCCTCAGAGGCCACGTACGCAAGACGCAGCTGACCACGCTGCTGCAGCTCACGAGCAAGAAAGTAGCGGAGAGCAATGTGCTTCGTTCTGTGCTCCAGTCGCTGCTCCCGACACAAGGCCAGCATGGCCTTGTTGTCTACGTACAGCACTGGAGGAGAACGAGGCAGCTCTCCGAGGTCAGTCAGCAGGTAGGTGAGCCAGCGAAGCTCCTGTGCAGCCATGGCTCCTGCGTAGATCTCAGCCTCACAACTGGAGCCGAGAACAGAAGACGAGCGGGTAGCCCGCCACGAAACAGAGCCGGAACCAAGGCTGAAGGTGTAACCCTGTGACGACCGCTGCGTAGCCTGGTCGTCAGCCCAAGAAGCGTCTGCGTGCCCAGTAAGGACCACTGGACTCTGCCCTCCAAGCACAAGCCCAATGCCCGACGTACTGCACAAGTAGCGCAACACCCTCTTCGCTGCAGCCATGTGCTCCGGTCAGTGTCTCCCAGGAGCAACATAGCGTGCAAGAATGCTAAGAGGGTATGCAAGGTCAGGTCGTGTGCAGGTCATCAGGTACATGAGGCAGCCAACAAGCTCTGGGTACGGGCCACTCGACTCTACGGACTCATCCGAAGGCAGAGCTGAGAGCGAGTGGCGAGTAGGCAGAGGAGTGGCCTGAGGCGAGGAGTACGTGAAGCCGAAGCGCTGAAGGACCTGCTGCACCATGTGTGACTGAGTCAGGGTAATGGTGCGGCGTGCTCTGTCCCGAGTGATCTGCAAGCCAAGGTAGCTGCGCAGTTCACCTAGGTCAGTGCACGTGTGTCTCTTCTGCAGCTCGGACTTCACGTGGGCTAGTCCAGCAGTGTCAGCTGTGGCAAAGACCAAATCGTCGACGTACACGAGGATGTAGAACGGCGGCAAAGAAGTGTCGGTGCGCAGAAACAGCGACGGGTTGGCAGTAGAGGGAGCAAACCCAAGAGCCGCAAGTGTAGTCCTCAGTGTGTCATGCCACTCACGCGGTGCCTGGCGGAGACCGTAGACTGGCCGCCGTAGGCTCCACTGGGTGCCAGGAGGAAAAGACCCAGTGAAGCCAGGTGGGCGACGCAGCCAGATCTCCTCGTGCAGGCTGCCCTGCAAGAAAGCAGTGCTGAAGTCAAGAGAGTGTAGCTCGTAGTCACGGTGAGCAGCTACGTGCAGCAGTACCCGAAGAGTGGTCATCTTCGGGGTGGGAGAGAAGGTCTGAAATTAGTCAACTCCCTGCCGCTGACTGAAGCCACGAGCCACGTAACGCGCCTTGAAGACAGGCGGAGAACCCGGCGGTCGCTTCACCCTGAAAATCCACATGCCACTGACGATGTTCGCCCCAGGAGGGGGAACAGCGTCAACGTAGGTGCCTGTGGACTTCCAGGAAGCCATCTCTGCGTCCATAGCTGCCTGCCACTGAGAGGAGTAGGGACCCTCTATCGCCTCCGCGTAAGAGCGCGGAGTCGGGATGTCAAGTGCATCCGGGTCTCCCTCAGGGGTAAGCAGTACGGACACGAGATGAGGTGAAGCAGCGGCCAAGCACTGGAACTCCTCCTGCCTGTCCTCAAGGACGTCCGTGCCAAGGTCACACTCACCCCCGACGGACGGAGGACAGACAGACTCAGACTCAGCAACAAGACTGGCGACGTAGTCTAGGCGACAGCGAGCAGCAAAGTCGACGAGCTCAGCAACTAGGGCAGATGCAGCAGTGGACTCAAAGGAAGGGTCAGTGACAACAGTAGCAAGGAGACGCGTGACAGTAGGACTGGCAGCACGAAGAGAGTCCGACTCCGGGT